GTCTCGGTTACGTATGTAACCCTCGTTCCCTGAAGGAGGGAACGGAGACGTCACGTCCCGTCGCCACAGCTCCTGTACCACCGCTGAGCGGCCGGGTCACCGGCTCGGCTCCTCAGCGAAAACCTGAATATGCGCTGCACCTGCTGCCTACTTATACTCACGCTGTGATCAGCAGCAGCTGGATGCAATAATCGCATGCCAATGTGCATTGGCTCGTTTAGTTTACACTCGAAGTAGATTGGTCCCTCTAAGCGAGATCCCAATTTCGTCGGTCCTCCGACGTGATGTCTCCGTTCCCTCCTTCAGGGAACGAGGGTTACATACGTAACCGAGACGTTTCTCAGGTATATGTGAATGAAGTCTGCAAAGTAGTCTATGCTTTTCATTCAGCGTTAATTCCTTTGAGGCCAAGAGCTGCTGCTTAGATGAACGTCAGTTTGTGCTTTTGTTCAAAAGTTTTGGGTTGGTAAGATTTTTTTATGTTTTTGAACATAAAATATCTTATGCTTACCATTATTTAATATAAAATACATTATAAAGAGTACTGATTTGAAATATCACAATTTATAATTACTTTTTTTCTATTTGAATATATTTTAAAATGTAATGTATTCCTGTGAGCTGCTTAATATGTTTTGTGGAAACTACATTTTTTCATTTATCTTTTATAGATTCTTTGATGAACAAAGTTCAAAAGAACAGCATTTATTTGAAAAATAAATTTTTATAACATTATACATGTCTTTACTGTCACTTTTGCTTATTTGAATGTGTCCTTGCTCAAAAAAATGTATTATCTGCTTTTGAACTATAGTGTACACTTTTTCACCATCTTCATTAGACAGTTTCTGTGTAAATTTGACATTAAGTCAGTCTTATATAAAACACACATTCATTTCAGTGTGGCAGTTTTTGCACAAATGGATCTGTGAACAATTCACACATACCAACAGTCTGCAGTCATGTCATCCCAAATCTGTATGACTTTCTTTATTCTGTGAGGCACATTTATTTTCATTATATGGACAAAAAACAGTTGAAACGCTATGTAAAAGTTAAATATCTTGTTTTATATTCTGCTGAAGTCTCACAGATTTGGAGTGTGTAAATGATGACAGAAATTAGCATTTGATGGTGAACTATCCTTCTAAAAAACAAACTAAAGAAGTAAAAAAACACAAAAGCACACACAAGCTCACCTCAGGCAGCCGGTGGCATTGCGAAGTACTTGGGACGTGTGCATTTGAAGCTTGCGGTCCTCCTGATGTGGGGACACGTCCCAGGTGGAATGGGGTATAATCACGGTGTTGGTCAAGACGGCTAGAGCATCCTGGATTATAGGCATCTTCAGAGCATCACAGGAAGACAGGTTCCACAACACACCTGCACAGGACAAACACATAACCACAGCGTTTACAATAGCAAATAGGCAGAGCCACCTATTTTACACCATTTGTGAACCGTATTTAATAAACTATGAAAGGAATGATTCACCCCAAAATGAAAGTTTGCTGAAAATGTACTCACCCTCAGGCTATCCAAGATGTAAATGATTTTTTTTTTCTTCAGAATAGATTTTCAGAAATTTAGCAATACATCACTTGCTCACAAACAGATCCATTGCAGTGAATGGGTGCCGTCAGAATGAGTTCACAACACGACTCCTGTTCATCAATTAACATCTCGTGAAGCAAAAAGCTGCATGTTTTGTAAGAAACAAATCCATCATTAAGGCATTTTAACTTCAAAACGTTGCTTCCTTCATCCATATTGCTTTCTCCAGTGAAAAAGTCATCTTGTCTAAATCCAGAGAGAATTTACAAGTGAAAACAGAACAAAACAGTTCTAAACAAAAATGTCCGTGGATTTTGATATGAGAGGACAACAGGGAATAAACTTTTTCACCAGAGAAAACATTATTATGGATTATGGACTGGTATTTTGGCCAGAGGAGATGTTTTAAATTTAAAATGCCATAATGATGGATTTGTTTCTTACAGAGGATCCACTGGTGAGCAAGTAAATGAATGCTAAATTTCTGCAAATCTGTTCTGATGAACAAACAAACTCATCTACACAGGTCAGTACACTTTCAGCAAGTTTTCATTTTTGGGTGAACTATTGCTTTAACATTCGAGTGGGGCATACTTCGAGACCCCTGCTTGAAAGTGACTGCAGCAATGCACAAAAAATAATGCTTTTCTATTATTACTCTTTCATAGGGGTAAAAAATTCATAGAACATTGTCAATTCTGTGCTTGAGCTAGCCTGAGACAGGTTTTGACGTCTCACACAGACTCGGAGACCCACACAAATGTAGAGCTGAAAGCATAATTTGACAAGCTATAGAGCCTGCGGTCTCACATTACAATGACGGTCTAACAGCATTTTACCAAACTCCTTCACAGCTTCCCCAAGATTCAGAGGGAGGACTTATGCAATATGATTTACTAGATGCAATTCACATAAAACAACTCTTCTGTACTGCACAACTCTTTAGATTACATCTGAGAGATTAACAGATAAAAATGCTACAACAAACAGAATTTCTTAGCCGGCTAAAATTAAACAGCCTATTTTACAGACTATTAAAAACATGCCAAGACTTAATATCTTTGGTTCCACAACATACTGTAGCATGTCCCTGTTATCGTTATCACTGCAGTCATTAGAGATTTGTGAACGCCATTCTTGCAGAAACATCATATTTGCCTCAGACAGTCATTTGATAAACAAATAGAAACAATGGAGAAGAAGAGGAGGGAGTCATTAGCATTTACATTTTTGTTTAGGAATTGATAATGACAGTGGAAGAGACAATCAAAATGTTTGTTCGGTCAAGACCTTTTGCTCTCCAACATATACATGACTTTATAATATATGCAGTTCGATGGCGGCTACAGTATGTTGAAAGATCTGAAGGATAGAAAGTGAAGCAGATACTGTATATTCACATATATTTGTGTGGGAGGTCTGTCCTAAACTAGCAGAGATCAGCCACCCATACTCATGCTGTGATTGTGGGCATAATGGTCACGTGACTGCACAGCCGTCTCCTTTATGACTGGTAAGAAAAGCCACTAATTTTCATGTTTTTGACAAGAAACAATGCACCTAATTAGGCTTTCAAACATGCTAATTACTGCGTCTCTTCCTCCAGAGCCCAAAGACAAAATTCATACAATTCTACAGCTGACTAACTATATCAACAGGACTAAAGGCTTCATCAGTTTGTAAGCAAACATCTCGAGACCTGCAGACAGCTCTAATTTTCTTACATCGCCATGGAGATAAGTCACACGGAAAATATCAAGTCAAATGCACTGCATTGTGGGATACAGTATTTGCACAGCATGCAATTTAATGTACATACACTAGCGTTTAAAAAGTTTGGGGTCAGTCAAATTTTAATAATTTTTTTTAAACAAAGAGATTCATCCAAAAACAGCCAAACAGTTGATGGTAGCCATTAACTTCCATAGTATGGGGGGAAAAATAAATAAAATAAAATGAAAAATAAAATAAGATGCTATTGAAGTCAGTGGCTATAGTCAATTGTTGGTTTTCAACATTTTTAAAAATATCTTCATTTGTGTTCAACAGAAGACAGAAACTCATACAGGTTTGGAACAACTTGATGATGAGTAAATGATGACAAAATGTTCATTTTTGGGTGAACTTTTCAACACTTCAGCAAGAATGCATTAAATTGTATAAAAGTGACAGTAAATACATTTATATAAGAGTTATAAAATAGTTCTATTTCAAATACAGCGTTCAACCTTTTTTTTATCCAAAAAAAAGGAGAGAAAAAAAAAAATATATAAAAAATTAAATAAAAAAAATTTCAGTTAAAAAATTGCATACTACTTCCTTTAAAGGAACACGCCACTATTTTGAAAATAGGCTCATTTTCCAACTCCCCTAGAGATAAACAGTTGAGTTTTACCGTTTTCGATTCCATTCAGCCGATCTCCGGGTCTGGCGGTAGCACTTTTAGCTGTAGCTTAGCATAGATCATTGAATCTGATTAGACCGTTAGCATCTCACTCAAAAATGACCAAAGAGTTTCTATATTTTTCCTATTTAAAACTTGACTCTTCTGTAGTTACATCGTGTACTAAGACCGACGGAAAATGAAAAGTTGCGATTTTCTAGGCCGATATGGCTAGGAACTATACTCTCATTCCGGCGTAATAATTAAGGAACTTTGCTGCCGTACCATGGGTGCAGCAGGCGCAATGATATTACGCAGCGCCTGAAAATAGGATAACTTCTGTCAACATAAGCAACGTGACCACCTGCTTGCACAGGGAGCGTGCTGGGGACTATTTTCAGGCGCTGCGTAATATCATT